CCCCCCGCAGCCCCTCCGTTTCCCCCAGCCCCGGCCGGGGGCTCCCGCGGGCCCCTCCGCCTGGCGACGCGTCCTCGGCGCGAACCGGGGGCTTCCCGACTCGCCGGCCCCACCTCCATCGTTCCTCGCCAGCTGATCGCCTCTGCATCGGCCGGAGAGGGTTGCTAGGCAACCGCCTCCAGGAGTGACATCCTGCCCCGCCGTGACCAGCCCCGCGATGCTGCCCGGTGGAGAGGCGAGAGGGGGGACCACCCGGGCCGCGGAATTCCAGGTGCCCGCGGCTCTCCGGGCCCCGCGGAGGGAAGAGCCCCCCGGGGGGGGGCGGCGGCCCCAGCGGCTGCGGCGGAACCTTCTCCCCTGGCCTCTCCGGGTCAGGATGCAACCCCCGACGCCGCGCGAGCTGGCCGGCCATCAGCTAGGCATCAGCTGGCCCGTTGGCCCCGGGGCCCGAGGGAAGCGAGGCCGAGGCGGCGGCGGCGGCGGCGGGGTGGTCCTCGCTCCTCTCCAAGCCGGCTCGCGGTGGCAGGAATCGGGCCCAGGGCAAGGCGCGCGCCTGGGTGCCCGAGGTGGAGCCCAGCCCTCCCCCTCCCCTCCCCTCCCCTGGCTTGGGGGGGGGCTGGGGGGAAATCAGGCCTCAGGTTCTTTCCGCCCTGGGCTCCCCTGGGCTCTCGCCGGAGACCCACCGACCCACCCGGAGGGCGCAAGCCCCGTCGGCTTTACCGAAATCCCTTGTTCCCGTCGGTGCCCCCAAAGGGAGGGACGCCTCCGTGTTCTGGGCGGGACCCCCGGGACGTGAAACTGCTGGTCCCGGACCCTCTCCCGCGCCAGAACAGAGAGAGCGCCCCGACCCCTCATGTCCCCGGTTTGCGACCTGGACGCGAAGGGAGGAGGCCCTTTCTAGGGAGAATGCGCTCTGCGCCCCCATGAAGAGAAGGCTTCTCTCTGCCCCCCAGGCCCCTGCAGCCAACTCTTGAGGAAACCAATCAATCAGTCAATCAGTCAATCAACTAATTAACCATGAATTGTGGCACCTTAAAGACAAACAGATTTGATTCAGCGAGCGCTTGCGTGTATTATTATTCACTTCTTTAGAAACACTGGGGAGGGGGACGCTCCACACAAGCTCAGAGACACGAGTCTTTGCTAGGAAGCTTCTGGGCCGCCCGGGCCAAGTAAAAAAAAACGACAAATCGTACCCAAGAGAGGAGAGGATGAGGCGGAACGCAGCTTTCCAGGCAAAGTCTCCCTGGGGACGCCTGGTTTTAAAAGGGTCGGTTCACGCGATCTCCAGCTCTCTCTCTCTCCCTGTCTTTCACACGTATATGTGTACACGAGAGGCCAGAGGGAGCGGGAGCGAGGCAGGGCGGCCGGGCGGGGGAAGCGGGGAGCCCAGTTCGAGGGGGGGGGCAGCAGGAGAATGCCCAGGCTGGCCAACCCG